CACAGCCCCTCGCAGGTCCTCCCTGAGCAAGGGGCCCGTGCCTTGTCCTGCTCTCCTGCAGACCCTGGAGAAAAGCCCCCTGGTGCTTGGGCAGAGGGACGAAGTGGACCTGAACTGTGCTGCAGCCTCCTCTTCCTGCCAAGCCCTCCCCCAGGAGAGACCCTTCACCAGGCCCACGCCCTGGGGTTTTATCAGAGCTGACCGACCGGGGAAGGGGATGCCCACTCCAGTTCCCTCTAGCCTGCCATGCTCGGGGGGAGGCCCAGCCCATTCTCCTCTATTGCTCTGGTCTCCCCCAAGGAGAAAACAAAACAGAATCGAGGAGCTCCCAGCCTGGGCACAAGTTGTCTAAGGCACTGAGATGTGACCAAAGGACCAGGAGCACCTCTGTCCCCACACGCCTACCCACTGCGTCCGGGGGCCCACACCATGCCACGACCCAGCCACCATGTCCGGGGCCCCACGCCACGACACAACCTGACCACCGCGTCCGGGGGGGCCCCACACCATGATGATGCGGCCACCACGTCCAGGGCCCCACGCCACGACACGACCCAGCCACCGCGTCCAGGGGCCCACACCATGCCACGACTGACTGCTGCATCCGGGGACCCCCACGCCACGCCACGCCACGACCCGGCCACCATGTCTGGGGCCCCACGCCACGACACAACCCAGCCACCGTGTCCGGGGGCCCACGCCATGATACAACCTGACCACCACGTCCAGGGGGGCCCCACGCCATGATGATGCGGCCACCACGTCCAGGGCCCCACGCCACAACACGACCCAGCCACCGCGTCCGGGGGCCCACGCCACGCCACGACTGACCACTGCGTCCGGGGACCCCACGCCACGCCACGCCACAACCCGGCCACCATGTCCGGGGGCCCCATGCCATGATACAGTTAGGAGCCTCAAGGTTCCGACGGTATTAAAGACACCTCTAGGGAAGCCTGGACACAACGGGAATCCAACACAGGTGCTCCAGAGAAGCATTAGCCTCCGACACCACAGCTGCAGTCAACCAGATTCTTGGTTTCCCTTGCCAGGAGAAGGTGAAACGTCCACCAAAGGCCTCTTTGCCTCGTTTACCTTTCCCCAGAACATCACGTCTGCCTTTCAACAAAAAATCACAAGGCACACAGTCTGCAGAAACAGCAAGCATGAGAGCCGGACACAGATACGCCGAGATGCTGGAGATCTCTCTACAGGACATGGCAAGTCGCAGAGGCCAACCACGAACAGGCAGGGGAACTCGGGAAGAGTCCAAAGCAAATGCTGGAAATCAAAACACTGTAGTGGAAATGGATGCCTTCGGTGGACACAGCAGCCTGGACACAGCCGAATAAACATCCTGAAGAAACGTCCATAGAAACTTCTGGAACCCAAGTGCAGGGAGGAAAAAAAATGCAAATGACAGAAGGGAACACCCAGGAACCGTAAGTACATGTCCAAAGTGTACCCGACAGAGAGAATGAGAAAAAGGGACCGGAAATGTTTGTGCAATGACAGGTGGCAGTCTTGGGAAACTCAGATACAGAGAGTCAGCCAAGAGCAAGCGGGTCATAGTGAAGGCTGTGACAGGCACCTCCTATCCAGCCACAGAAAGCCAGAGGCCAGGAGAAAACCCTAAAAGAGGCCAGATGGGAAAACTCCTTGCCGTGGAGTAAGGGTGAGAATCACACCCGACTTCTCTTCAGATCCTCGCAAGCAAGAAGAGAGAGAAGTCTAATTTTTAATTTGTTGAAGAAAAAAAAACTGAAATGACCCATTGAAATGATAGCCACTAGTTATAAAGAAATAAAGGCTTTCTCAAGCAAAAATTGAGAGAATTCATCACCAGCAGGTCTGCCTGGGAAGAAGTGTTCAGAAGAAGTTTTCAAAAAGAATGAAAATTATATAGATCAGAAATTCGAATCTACATAAGGAGGGGCTGGGGCTGGGGCTCAGTGGCAGAGCACTTGCCTAGCACATGTGACGCACTGGGTTCCATCCTCAGTGCCACATAAGAACAAATAAATGAAGGTATTGTGTCCATCTATGACCAAAAGGATTTTTTAAAAATCTACAGAAAGAAAAGAGTAGAAAAGTATGAAATAAAGGTAAAATAAAATCCTTTTTCTTCTCTTTCATTGATCCAGCAGGTGACAGCTTATCTGAAATGATAATCACAGGGTTTTTATGATGGTGGCGGATGGACGGACTCAGTGGAGGTGTGTTACAGGGCCAAGGAGAAGCACTGGGAGCTGTGTAGGTGTCTGACTGACTGAGCAGTGGCGCAGCACTCCTGAGAGAGGACTTGGGCGAGTTGTCCATGAGTGGTCCCCCTGGTGGGAGAACAAGTGACCCCCCACTTGGCCCCGGCCCTAAACACCTGGCCAGAAAGTTGCCTCGGAGCAGAGCTACCTCCCCACCCCATTCCCTACCCCTGCCTGGGAGAGGCGCAGAAGCAGGGCCAGGTTTAGGGCTCTGCCTCAACAGCTGCAGTCAACCCTCAGCCTCGGAGGCTCACCTGCCCTCTCCAGCCCAGGACAAGGAGCACTGGATGGTGAGCCCCACCTGCGCAGGATGGGGAGGGGCCCGGGATGTTGCACTGTGATCTCCTCTCAGGCCAGCAGGTGGCAGCATCACACCGAAAACCTGCCTCTCCAGAAAGTGCTTTCAATGCATCAGAACCCTGCAGGGTCCACCCTGGCCCAGCAGGTGGCTTTCCCCAAAGCCCTTTGGTGGCCCACCCCTGCACCCTGCCCACCCCTGCCTACAGTCCTTCAGAACAGCTAGATGCTAGTGGAAGTTCTTGACTGGCCCCAAGCCCCACTCCTAAAGCTCATGGAGGGAGCTTCTGACTCTGGTGTGATTTCTCCCAGGTTGTCACATGCAGCCACCCTAGAACCTGGCTCTGGGTGAAGGTCAACCCATGCCTGCAGCATTGACGCCTGTGCATTCCCAAACCCACCTTAACCCTCAGAGCCCTCGCCAATGCCAGCTCGCACCTCCTGGCCTCAGGTGCCCTCAGGGTCCCAACCCACCATCAGTGCAACTCATCCCAACCCACAGCCCTGAGTCCTGGGCCCCCTGGGAGCAGGTGTACCCCTTGCCGAGCCTGTCGGCCCTGGGAACCAGGGGAGCCCCACGGCCCCACATGCCCTGCTCACCACAGCCTTGGCTGAAGCAGTGCCATCCTGGAGGGGACCTGCAGGAAGTGCCCCCCCACCAACTGCATGACAGCCAGAGTGGTCTCTCGAAGATGCTCCCCAGGAAAAGACAGGGCTCTCACAAGGGCACCTCACACCTGGGGACAGGATGTGCTGCTGGCAGATGCCAGCCCTCCAGAACACAGTCAGCTGGACAGGAAAGCCAGCAGGGTGGACGGAGCTGGGCCCTGCTGCTCCTCTCCGCTTCCCCCCCCCATCACTTAGCATCTTGTGTTTTGTCTTCTTGAGATGACCACCCAGCATGGAGTCCAGGGAGGGGCCTGTTGTGGATAGAAAGAGCATACAGCTCCCACCCACTCACTCCTCAGATGTGACGCCTTCCCAAAGCACTCAGTTGGGTCATCTCGGTCGTCCCTCTCCTGGTGGAAGTTGGAGAACAGAGATCAGCAACTCTGCCAAGCTCACTCCTGAGTGGTTCCACATCTTGCTGGAAGAAGCCAGGGTGACCCAGTCACTGGGCCAGGAGCAGCCATTCCTCACTAAGTCCACCCAGGCTCTAGGCAGTTCCCACGTGGCAGAAAGACTGGCATCTGCCAGCAGGGGTGGATGCATGCACCCAGCTCCACATGCTCTCCTGATAGGAGAGGGAACACCCAGCTCTCCTACCCTCTCTGGGTAGGCATCGGCCCCACCTCCACTCCCTGGGGGAAGACTTCTCGTCACCCTGAGGGAAGCTGTGTCCAGTGACCCATTGAGCCCTAGACCCGTTCCTGGTTAGTAAGAGAAATCTCAGGATTGGGTATGGTGAACTCAGCGTCCACCCCTGCAGGTGTCTGGACAGCACCTTTGGTGAAGCCACCTGCAGTGACCCAAAGACTTCTTGGCTGGGACAGAGGATCCCCCATATACACCAGCCTATGGTCAGCTCCAAGAGTGACAAGCAGGATCCCAGGTGACAGGCCCCCGCTCCTTTTGTTCTGCTCCCCAGTTCCACCGTCGACCCCTCCACCCACCAAGCAGAGAGAAAATTCCCCAGCAGGCAGGACAAAGTGTGGGGAACGTTTCACACAAAACACCAAATAACTACAAGCAGGGGCTTCTCCTAAGCCAGGGTGTATCCTATAAATTCTGATTCCTGCTTCAAATCACTACTGGATGTTGGGGGACGTGGGAATCACCTCAGCAGGCACCTGGCACCTGTGGGGGACAGGGGGCAGCTGCAGGTCGGGGAAAGGGCCCCTGCTCGCAGATCGCTGACAGCCCAGCGGATTCAACCTGGCCACTGATGGCCCCAGAACGCGTTGCTCAGGCCCACCCGGGACTGCGAGCGAGACCCCCAGAGCGTAGGTCCACACAGCACGGGCAGTGGCTGGGCAGGCGCTGGGCAGACGCTGTGCCCTTGGTGGTGCACAACGGAACCGCTACGCTCCGTGGCTCGTGTGAGCGAGGACAGGGAACAAGACGGAAGAACTATGAGGGTGTCCACGCGGAACGCAAGCGTCTGGAGGCGGCCAACCCCGGGACACCGGGAGGCCGCGGTCCGGGTCGCTGAGAGGCAGGTCAGTGCCCCGGATTCTGCCTCCCTCGCCCGCCCTCCTGACCGTCTGAGCCGCCGGTGGAGCCGGGCTCCGAGAGAGGCAGTCACCAGGTCCCCTCTGATTGGACGGCTCGAAGTCCCAGCCGGCGCCTCCGCAGCTTAAAACCGAGGCGGGGGCGAGTGGGAGCCAGAGCCCGCCCCCGGGCCGGCCCGCGCACCGCGGAGAGGAGGAGGAGGAGGAGGAGGAGGAGGAGGAGGAAGCGGCGGCGGGGCGGCGGCGGGCCGGAGAGGCCGGGCGCGAAGGCTCTGGAGCAGACGGACCGCCGGAGGGGCTCACGAGGCCGGGAACCACGTAGCGGCGGCCGGCTCCGGCGGGCGATGGCCGAGCTCAAGTCGCTGTCAGGGGACGCATACCTGGCGCTGAGCCACGGGTACGCGGCGGCCGCAGGCCTCGCCTACGGGGCGGTGAGGGGCCCCGAGGCGGCCCGCGGCTACGGCGCGCCTGGTCCGGGCGGCGACCTCCCCGCGGTGCCCGCTCCCCGCGCCCCCGCCGCAGCGGCCGAGAGCAGCGGCGAGCAGAGTGGCGATGAGGACGACGCCTTCGAGCAGCGGCGGCGGCGGCGCGGGCCGGGGGGCGCGGCGGACGGGCGGCGGCGGCCCCGGGAGCAGCGCTCGCTGCGACTCAGCATCAACGCGCGCGAGCGGCGGCGCATGCACGACCTGAACGACGCTCTGGACGGGCTTCGCGCGGTCATCCCCTATGCGCACAGCCCGTCGGTGCGAAAGCTCTCCAAGATCGCCACGCTGCTGCTGGCCAAGAACTACATCCTTATGCAGGCGCAGGCCCTGGACGAGATGCGGCGCCTGGTGGCCTACCTCAACCAAAGCCAGGGCTTGGCCGCTCCCGTGGCCGCCGCGCCCCTGACACCGTTCGGCCAGGCTGCTGTCTACCCCTTCTCGGCGAGCGCCACGCTGGGGCCCTGCCCGGACAAGTGCGCCGCCTTCTCGGGATCGCCCTCAGCGCTCTGCAAACACTGTAATGAGAAGCCATGAAGACCCGGGACCCCTTTCGCAGCGTCCTCCCGTTTACGTTGCCCCCTGACTCATGTTGCCAGCACTGGAAATGTTTGGCTGGACCCCAAGTGGAGAAGGCAGCCGGATCTCGCTCCCAGACCGTGGGCGCTGAACAGTTTGGGGCCGCGGAAAGCGCGAAGCCGGACCTGGCACTGAAATTCACGACTGGGAATCCTCAGCTCCTGCTGGGCACTCTGCCTGATCTTGGCCAGGGGTCATCGAGTCTAGGTACAGGCGGTGGCGGGTGACTAACCGTGGTCCCTTCGGCCACCGCCACTACCTTCCAAAAGAAGAAAGTGGCAAAGTCACAGGGCTGCAGCGGGGGCGGATACTGACTGGTCCCACCCAGGACGGGGACTTGCCTAGCGCCGGCCCAGGAGCGCAGGCTCCCAGCGTCGCGGGGTTTAGCCGGTGGGTGTCCTCATTTGGAGGCTCGAACACCGCCTGGTCTGCCTTTTCAGCCACACTGCAGGGACGAGCTCCCTCTGGGCGCGTTCCCAAGAACGCGCGTCTCAGAGCACCTCCCGCCTGTGCGGGTTCCAAGACTTCAGCCCTCCCCTAGCGAGTACCGTCGTGCGCTCTAAGACTCAACCACCGCGGTGTGCAAAGGAGCTGCGGCAGTGCGCAGAAGGACCTCGGGCAACTTTCCGGCCTTTTCCAAGTCTGAGTTTGTTCTATTATTTTCTTTCCTGCCAAGAGGCACAGGAAGAGGAGGCCTCTTTGAAGTCCGCGGATTCATCCCTGAACATGCCGGGACCCCTCAGCTACCGCTTTCTGCCCGCTGGGATGGAGACCTTGGTGACCCTCTGCCTAGGAGGACTGCTTGAAGGAGACAGGTCCTCACAGCCGGTGCGGTGCGGTGCGGTGCGGTCAGCGCAGGACCCCCATCTAGCCCCAGGACCAATAAAGTCCCCTCCCTACCAACTCTGGACCGTTTCGAGGGAGGAGGCCGGGCTACGGGTGAGTAATCTGTTAGGATTCGGGTGCCCCGTGGCGGTAAGCAGTGGCGGGTCTGTCTCTCGGAGTTGGTACGAAGCTCAGAATTCTGCCACTCTCCTTGGCCCACTGGGCAGCGCACAGCCCACAGGGTAGCCCCGCACAGAACTGTCCCTGCCTGTTTGCACCAAACGGCTCCATCAATCGATTTCCTCTTCTCAATGCTGTGCTCGCGGGCAGAGTGCCTCCGTCCTGGGGAGCGCCTGTCCAAGGAGCTTAACTCTAATTAATATATTTTAAAAGGCCTTTTTGTATTTGCAAAATGAAGTGTGATTGAGTCGTATTCATGAAGACATATGCTAATACTGGTTCCTGCTAATTTCCATTTTTATTTTTTCAACATTTTTTCCCCTCAATAGTTCAATTTATGAGTTTTGCCCATCCAAAAAGCTTAGTGTTAGACTATTCCAGATCCCTTTGGTAAGTCAAGGCAGGAAAACTATGTTATTTACTTGTGGGGTCGTTTGAAAGCCATCTGACATCAACTCTGTAAATTACTTACATGTTGTAATTTAAAAGTCATGTGTTTCAGTTAAGACAGAGATGTGTGCTACATCGTGAATACCATCAGAATAAAGTATTTGAAATCAACTTATTTTACAAAAATAACATGATTAAATTTTAGCATCAAATTGAATAGTGTCCATCTGTGACTGAAATCATAATTTCAATTTTCAGATGTGTTAAGGGACAGCTGCTTCTAAGGCCCAAAAGTCTCTGAGGGGCTGAAACTGATCCACAGCACTACTCCTTAGCTGATACATGAAATAAGAAAAGGAGAAGGAAAATCTTCCCCTGTTGGGTAAAAACAATTTTTTAAAAAGAATCGTTTCATTAGTCAAAAATATTTTGGATAACAGCTTGAATAAAAGTTCAAATTAAATTTAGCTATCTTTTGCATTCCCAAGCTGTTGGTCTGTTGTTCTCTGAAATGTCAGCAAGTCTTTCATCAGTGTTGAGTGGTTTCACATATTGAGATTAAGTAGCTTTTCAATAGTGCTGGCTAATGAAGCAATCCAGTCTCCTCATCCCGGGTTTTGCAGGCCCAACTTCCTCTTCTAAGACCACCACCACCACTGCATGGCCAAACTTCAACCAGCAAGGGGTGCCTGTCCCAACCCGTAGCTCTTCTGCAATAGCCTAGGTGGGGCCCTGGTTGTCTTTCTTCCCAAGGGCTGTGCTCCTGCTGGTGTGTGGAGAACGGGCTGTGGGTCACCTGGGAAGAGCTTCCTCAGCACAGAGCTGGCAGCCATGCCTGGGCTGGCTTCTCCAGCACTAGGGGGTGAGTTAAGTGAGAAAGAGCTTAGCTTCTGAGGGGAGTGGGGCCAGCCCTGTGCAGAGCTCAGGTGTAGGTGCTTAGGTGAGGCAGTGTCCGCAGGACCCAACTGTCCTACGGCCCTTTGAATCAGCGCGTCCCACATGGAGCCAAGCAGGCTGTTTCCAAGAGCTACATAATAAAAAGTGAACAGGTGAAAATAGCTATTGATTACTTTTATTCACCCCAACATATCCAAAATATTACCATATCCTCTTGGAAAAAAATCCATGTTTTTAAATGATCAGTGAGATCTTTTACTCTTTTTGGTACCAAGTCTTCAAACTGCAGTCCTATGTGCAAAGCCTGTCTCCGTCTGGACAGCCACGTTTCCAGTGCTCAGTAGCCACCCATGGTTAGCCAGGCTCCCATCTGTGCTGTGTGCACAGCACCCGAAATGACTGTTCCTTCCCCTCTTTGCCTAATAGTAACCAGAAATGTCCACTGACACGAGGAGTAAATTCTAGAGCCAGGCAAACAGGCAGTAGTCTTCCTCCAAAGCGTAGGTGGGGCTGCGGCACGCAGCAAGAGCAGCCCCCACTGTCCTTCTGTCAAGAGAGATGGGGGCCGTGCCTCTACCAGGTCTCAGGTTCCCCAGGCCCTCCAGCCTCACACTGGATACCACATCTGAGCCTAAGCAGCCCCACCCCCACCAAAGAAGGCATATGCAAGGTCACAACTATGGTTCCCCCACCCTGGGGAGGGGCAGTCTTAGAGCAGGACCACCTGCCCCTGCTAACCACCCAGGTGAAGCTCTCCGCACCTTGCAGACCAGGGTTCATCTCCTGTCTTGAGCTCCTGGCTTGGCCTGTCTGGGGGATGGTTCCTGACAATCCTGGTTCATGGGGGCTTGAGGCCGGCTTTTCTGAGCCCAGTAGAGGCGCCCCTAGATGGGGCAGAAGAGTCAGTTACCCAGCCAGGTCCTGCACTGTCTGACCTCTGGCCTGCCTCCTCACCCCAGGGCACCCTCTAGCCTGCCAGGTGGAGAGCCCCACACAGGTCAGAAGACAAAGGCAGGCCCCTGGCCTCTGTTCTCCTTCCTCCTCATATACACCCAGGCCACCGCACACTTCTCCTCTCCCGTCTGGTGCCCTGTGGTCAGTGCAACCCAGCCTGCCGCCTTTGCCATCCACCCAGGAGGCCCCTGCACTTGCAGCCCCCAGGTGCCCAGGGTGCTTTGCGCCCACAGGCCTTTGTTTCCTGGTTAAGAAACGCAGTCGCCAAACATCCCTGGCTTGCAGACAGGGGCAGCAGGCTTCCAACTGGGGCAGAGCTACCCTAGCTGGGCTCTAACCCAGGGGCCTAGGGCTGGCCCCACTGGTCCCCAGTACCCTCCGTCCACCCTCCCTCCAACCAGCAGGCTGGCCTCCAGCTGCTCCTCTTGTCAGTTTCATCCTAAAGAAGAGCTTTGCCCTCCCCTTAGTGCAGGTGTTGCCTGGATCACTGGGGAACCTTTTCACCTTGTGACCAAGCTGAAGAGCATCCCAGGACAGACGGGGCTCAGCCAAGAGGCCCGTCTGCTTCCCACAGGCCGGGATGTTAACAGAAGAGGCGCCTCCCTATAAAGGACAGATACAGCCTTCCTAAAAGGGGGGCCAGACCACGCAAACATCCTCCCAGCCCCAAAGCCACTCTGGCTTCTCATCGGCTGTTGAAGAGGACCCTGAGCGGGACCCTGAGCAGCAGCCCCTAAGCCCTGGTTAATCCAGCAGAGAATGATTACAGCAATTTTATAATGTAAATTTGTTTGTGATATGTTTTTAGTCTTTAATCTCTTTTGGCATCCCATTTGAAGGGATGGAGATAGAGGGATTTGCTCTATATTAAATCATTTCTCCAACAATTGCCTCTTTGGACTTGTGGCCCTGGCCACTGTGTTCCAATACCCCAGCGAGAGTCTGTTCTATAAAATTGGAAAGTTGATACACGGTTGCAAATTTAACCCTGGAACAGCAAAGCCCTGGCTGCTGCTAATGCACGGAGGTCAGGGGGTGAGGAAAGAGACCTGGGATAAAAAGAGGTTGACGTGTGGGGCTGGGGTTGCGGCTCAGTGGTGGAGCACTCGCGGAGCACGTGTGAGGCGCTGGGTCCAGTCCTCAGCACCACATAAAAGTAAATGAATGAAATAAAGGTATTGTGTCCGACTACGACTAAAAAAATTTTAAATAATAAAAAAAAGAGGCTGATGTGGTCCTTCCAGGTCCAAGTGCCCGAGAGTGTTTGCTTGTGTACCTAGAGAAGCTGCTTCTGGTCTCAGAAGTGTTCTTGAGTCTCGGGTAAAGGAGGGTGTGTGTGTGTGAGGAGCCCATGTGGACGGGAGCCTCTGGGGAGGTCTCCTCTCTCCCCAGGTTGTGTCCATAGCTCGAATGGAAAGGCAGCAGCTGCTGTCTGGGCTTCCAGAAGCCATCAGAATGCAACGCCAAGCCCTGCGTGGACCCGCAGGTGGCCTCTGTTCCCCACGACACTCAGGCCCCCTGGCAGCCCTGCTCACCCTGGGCCACCAGGGATGGGAGCAGACTTTGGCTCAGGGGTTCCCAGGAACAGTCTGGGTGCTTCAGAGAACTCCAGCCCCTTCCCGGCCCGGCTGGTTCTGCCTGGAGTCCCCTTTTGTCCACACAATGAGCCCACAGTCAGTCTCCCTCCCAGGAACCCCTGATTCAGTCTGACGTGCGACCAATCTCCCGGGTCCACGCGCACAGCCCTGTCTGTCCTGATGAGGCTTCAGCCGGTCTGGACGTTTGGCCGCAGCACACGGGGTGCTCACCACGGCCACAAGGCATCTGACAGGACGCATCCTCATTGCCAACGTTCGCAGCCTCTGCTGGTGGTGTCGAGAGCCGCGTGCCCTGCCCGCTCGGCACTTCCAGCTCTGACTACAGATGACGCTGACATCACAACACCCCTGGGAACAGCTGGGCTCTGAGCTTCATGCATGAGGACAAACCATCTTCCTCCAGCAAACACCAGGGCTACGAGTCCCCGATCGTCCTCAGCCCACCTCTGCCCAGGGGCTCCGGCACCAGTGTTTGACGAGGATCAAAGATGACCTCAGGGGGCACACTGCAGCCCGCAGGCGTGACTGGCATGGTGTGGGCAGGAACCAGGACTCTGAAGGCTCCCAGGCCCTGCCTGTGGAGCAGCCTAGACACCGTCACAGTGACACACACTGAAGGGGACTGTGTGTGTCACTGGGTGGGAGCACCCAGGAGCTTCAGCACCCAGGTTCCCATCTCCCAGGGCCCAGCTGGTGCTCAGGGCGTCTGGGCATCAGCCAGCTCTGAAGGAAGGGCCCTGGGTGGAAGTGCCTCACCCCACCATGGTGCTGACCAGCCGCTGGACAGGTCTGTTCCAACCCCCAGGGCCCTTCAAGCCCTCGGTGCAGCTCAGTGAGGTTGGAGCTTCTGTTCAAACATCCAGGACGAATGGCAAGATGTTTTTTGATGTTAGAGAATCTGAGTTTCCAAAGGAAGTGCCTTCCACCTGCTGCTGAAACTCAAAAGTAATCCGCTTCTTCACCCTCGGGTCTTCTCTCTGGGCCGAGGGGTCAGCAGTGACGTCGCACACCACCGTGACTCTCCTGCACACCTCGGTGACTCCCAGGGCACCGACTGAGGGCGGGCTCTGCTGGAGGGCTGTGGGGCGGGGAGCCAGTGCCCTGGTCCCCTCCCGCTCTCCGTAGCTCCGTCCACCAACATGTGCTCCTTAAGAATCCCCACTGCACTATGGGACCTCAAGTCGGTCGCTGCCCCAGCGCAGGCGCGGACTCTACCAACTCCAGGGAGGCCTGGTCTGGAAAGGCAGCGCTGCCCAGCCAGCTCGACGGTCAGCCGGCTCGCGGCCTTGTGCCAGGTAGAGCGGGGAAGCATAGAGCTGAGGCGGGGCACCCTCTTTCTCTCTGCCCCAGTGCTACCCCCAGTGCTGCCTGAACGTGCGCATGATAAGCACAGTCGCACGGTGGGCACGTGTGGGCACGTGTTGTGTGTGGGCATTGTGTGTGGGCACGTGTTGTGTGTGGTGTGCCCTGATGGTGCTGGGTGCCCGTGCTGCTGCCCCGCCTTCTCCCCGCAGAGCCCCTGGATTCAGGGCCCTGGTCCTGAGCAGACTGTTCTCGTCCCAGCAGGACGCCTGGCTCTGAGAGGCCTGCGCCTCCTTCCCCTCTGCCCGCAGTCTGGCCTTGCATGTCTTACTGAGGTTATGTGGGGACCCACCTCCCCAGTTTCTCAAGTCAAAGGCCTTACAGCCTCAAAACCTAGAACGTCCTGGGAAACAAAGAGCG